GCCTGTGCCGGGCTCGTTTTTCACCAACAGTCACACACTTCGTGCTCGTCGACCTCTCAGAACCCCATTCCCAGGCCACATTCTGAATAACCGGATGCAACAGTCACACACTTGGTGCTCCTTGACCTCCCAGAACGCCATTCCCGGGCCACATTTTGGAAGCCCGGAGCTAACTGTAGGCCACTTCGTGCTCTTCGATTTCCCAGAACTCCATTCCCGGGCCACATTTTGGATGCCCGGAGCCAACTGTAGGCCACTTCGTGCTCTTCGATTCCCAGAACTCCATTCCCGGGCCACATTTTGGATGCCCGGAGCCAACTGTAGGCCACTTCGTGCTCTTCGAGTTCCCAGAACTCCATTCCCGGGCCACATTTTGGATGCCCGGAGCCAACTGTAGGCCACTTCGTGGTCTTCGAGTTCCCAGAACTCCATTCCTGGGCATGATTTTGAATGCCCGGAGCCAACTGTAGGCCACTTCGTGTTCTTCGAGTTCCCAGAACTCCATTCCCGGGCCACATTTTGAATGCTGAGGCAGGCTGATGCTGAGGCTGAGGCAGGCTGAGGCTGAGGCAGGCTGAGGCTGAGGCCGAGGCTGAAGGCAGACTGAGGCTGAGGCTGAAGCAGGCTGAGGCTGAGGCAGGCTGAGGCTGAGGCTGAGGCAGGCTGATGCTGAGGCAGGCTGAGGCTGAGGCTGAGGCTGATGCAGGCTGAGGCTGAGGCAGGCTGAGGCTGAGAGGCTGAGGCTGAGGCTGAGGCTGAAGCAGGCTGAGGCTGAGGCTGAGGCAGGCTGAGGCTGAGGCTGAGGCAGGCTGATGCTGAGGCAGGCTGAGGCTGAGGCTGAGGCTGAGGCTGAGGCTGAGGCTGAGGCTGAGGCAGGCTGAGGCTGAGGCTGAGGCTGAGGCTGAGGCCGAGGCTGAAGGCAGACTGAGGCTGAGGCTGAAGCAGGCTGAGGCTGAGGCTGAGGCAGGCTGAGGCTGAGGCTGAGGCAGGCTGATGCTGAGGCAGGCTGAGGCTGAGGCTGAGGCTGATGCAGGCTGAGGCTGAGGCAGGCTGAGGCTGAGGCCGAGGCTGAAGGCAGACTGAGGCTGAGGCTGAAGCAGGCTGAGGCTGAGGCTGAGGCAGGCTGAGGCTGAGGCTGAGGCAGGCTGATGCTGAGGCAGGCTGAGGCTGAGGCTGAGGCTGATGCAGGCTGAGGCTGAGGCAGGCTGAGGCTGAGGCCGAGGCTGAAGGCAGACTGAGGCTGAGGCTGAAGCAGCTGAGGCTGAGGCTGAGGCAGGCTGAGGCTGAGGCTGAGGCAGGCTGAGCTGAGGCAGGCTGAGGCTGAGGCTGAGGCTGATGCAGGCTGAGGCTGAGGCAGGCTGAGGCTGAGGCCGAGGCTGAAGGCAGACTGAGGCTGAGGCTGAAGCAGGCTGAGGCTGAGGCTGAGGCAGGCTGAGGCTGAGGCTGAGGCAGGCTGATGCTGAGGCAGGCTGAGGCTGAGGCTGAGGCTGAGCAGGGCTGAGGCTGAGGCAGGCTGAGGCTGAGGCCGAGGCTGAGGCAGACTGAGGCTGAGGCTGAAGCAGGCTGAGGAGGCTGAGGCTGAGGCTGAGGCTGAGGCTGAGGCTGAGGCTGAGGCTGAGGCTGAGGCAGGCTGAGGCTGAGGCTGAGGCTGAGGCTGAGGCTGAGGCAGAGGCTGAAGGCAGACTGAGGCTGAGGCTGAAGCAGGCTGAGGCTGAGGCTGAGGCAGGCTGAGGCTGAGGCTGAGGCAGGCTGAGGCTGAGGCAGGCTGAGGCTGAGGCTGAGGCTGATGCAGGCTGAGGCTGAGGCAGGCTGAGGCTGAGGCCGAGGCTGAAGGCAGACTGATGCTGAGGCTGAAGCAGGCTGAGGCTGAGGCTGAGGGCTGTGACTGCGACTGCTGCTGCCACTGCGACTGTCATCGCGAATGCGACTACGACTGCGAGAACAGCAGAATTCTACAACTGGATTCTCATCCGAATCTTAAGGGGAATGCTTCCAGATGTGCTCCTACACATCGATGTTAGGTTGCTTTGCCGGGATAATTTTAGTATTTTTGTTTTACCTTCTGGGGGTATTTTTAGGGTATTTCTCATTTTTCATCGAAAATCCCCCTGTAGGGCTGTAGGGGGACAGGCCCGACTTAAGGATACATTGCTCCGTTCGTACTTACGGTGGGAGCGCGCATCAAGAATCCATAGGCTTTTCGTCAGGGTATCCTGGGTTTCTTCGCTCCTCGCGCTGCGCGGTGACTTCCCGCAGCCGTTGAAGGGGCTGCTGCGTTCAGGGTTTCCCCTCAGGTGTACCTCGCGCACGGGTTCTCAGGGTTGGGTTTCTTGCAGGGATTTCTTGCGGCCGCGCCCGCACTGTACGGACCAGATCCCAGAAATGATTGCGAGCACCCGGAAAAGTGTCGAAACAGGGTCGACCGAGTATCGCCTCCCAGGGCCCGACACGCGAAGACCTCGAGGGTTGGTACTCTTCCTGGTGCTCGAAACGAGTTCTGGTGATCGAAACTACAGCCGGCTGGAACATAGAAAGCCAGGGGGGGAAGTGAGAAGGAGAAGGCCTCCTCGGAAGGTCGCGCCTTCTGCAAAGAGGTTTTTGGTGTCTTCTGGGAGGGCTTAGAACATTTCCCCGAAGGCCGGAGGACTTCCGAGCCTTCTGAGAAGTGCCGCCCCTTCTCACTCGCCCCCCGGACTCGCCGCCGATGATCGTGTCCTCGAGCTGCTTCAGGCGGTCGATCGTCTGGTCCACGTGCATCTCCAGGGCGGGTTCCGTCGCCGTGCTGCTCACCCGCTCCCGGTTGGCAAGGCTGCTGGTCCCCGGCGAGGCTGACGGCTGGCCGTGGGTCGCACGTCCCCGAAGCGGCTCCTCGGAAGGGCCCTTCGCGCGGGTGGACTCATGCAGGAGGGTGTTCACTATGGCCTTCATGTCCTGCATGTCCTTGGACGGCCGGGAATCCTCCGAGGACGCCACCGAGTTACAGCCTTCCCATCGCTGTCCAAGTCGCCCGCGGGGGACTCGCTCCTGCCAGAGATGCCGTCAGACGCATCTGGCAGCAGCTGTAGAAGCTGGGGCCGAGAGCCAGCAGCGCCGTACAGATCAAGATCGGGATCTCCACCTTGCCATCCTGTAGAGGTCGTACAGGTAACCGCGGAAGCCGTCAAGCTCCAGTATCAGGTTGTGGCCGTCTTCCATCTTCTCGAACGTCCAGCGAAGCCAGTCTGGGGCTTTTATGTGAACCGCTATGCGTCAAGTCCAGGTGCCCCAGAGGCCAACATTTCCCGAACGCACCCAGGAGAAGTAGGAGACCCAGCCGCGGAGGTTCGAGATGTAGAGTTCGTCCTCGAGCTACTTCTCCTCGGTCTTTCCCACGATCTCGTTCTTCTCGGCGGCCGTCAGCGCGGGGAAGGCCTCCTAGTACCAGCCCAGCTGGCGGCGAGGAGACAGCTTCGACCTGTCCTTGACGTCGCCCACCCCGCCCACGTTGAGGAGCCGTCGTGCGGTACATTCGGCTCCATCCTCAGCTGCTGGCCATCTGGACGCGGATGTCATCCTAGAGGCCGGGCCGCTCCGACTCGCGGGTGTACGTCGAGGACGCGTCGTCCCCCAGGGTTCCCGAGCGGTTCCGCCAGGAGTGGGCCGGGGACGCCCAGGTTTCTGACGCGCGAGTGGAGGGCGGCCCCGACAGGCCGCCGCCTCGTGGTGCCGACGACGGCGCGCCCGGCTCCGAGCTCCCACGCTGGCGGGGCGAGGCCGCGCGCGCGCCGGGCTCGAAGGGCACGGGGGCCCGTGGCGCCAGAGACGGCTTGAGCGGGCACGAGGGACCCCCCAGCCTTGCAGATGATTGCGCTTCGCAGTTTGTGCAGCAGGGGAGGAGGAACATTCCGTACACGAGTGCCCTTCTGTACGGAATTCCCCCCCCCGCTGCGATTTGCCGGGGCAGGTGTCGGGGCCATGTTCGGCCATCAAGTGCTCGACCAGAGACGTCATTCACACTATGTACTACTCAGCATACTCCTGCAAGCGCATGTCACGCACGGCCTTGCCTTGCACCTCTCCCGAGACGCGATCAAATAAGCTTGGGCAACAATCATGTTGTCTGCAGTCACGCCTTCCCCTGCTGTACTTAGTTGCCTGGACACCCCTGCTTGCAATGTGACGTATGGTAGAACTGTCAGGTACACACACACACACACCTTTGCGAGGCAGAGGTAAATTGAACCAGCTGTAAGCGATTCGGGGCAACTGAAGAGCGAATTGGTCAGCATGCAGGAGGAGAGAAGGAGACAGACAGAGCGGGCGCAGAGGAAGGGGGGGAGACAGGGGGCACTTTGAGGTGGAAGACTTCCATCCCGAGCGCGCTGGCGGGGCCAGCAGCGGCAGTGGGGATCGCGGCAGCGGTAAGCAGCGGCCGAGCCGCGGCGTCGGTGCATCCATGGACGCTGCCGATGCCCAGTACGCGGAAAGCAAGCGTATGTACAGCGAAGCCGTCCAGGTGTGGGCCGACTGGGTACAGCAAGTGGCGAGAATAGCAATCTAGGTTTTAGACTGCCCACAGCAAAATGCTGTGCCCGCTGGGTGTAGGGCGGGGGCTGCGGCGAAGCGTAGGGTCTATTGGCACCAAAACCAGAGGAAGCTGCACGCCGCCTCGTTTTCGTCTTGCACATCATGTTTTTGGCCCAATCTCCCAGTCCTCCTTACCTTCCCCCTCCTGATACCCGCGCTCCCCAGCTACTGCCCATCCTCCTCTTCGGCCACGATCCCCCCCCCCCCCCACCCCCTATTCCACCTTCCTGCCCCCTCCCCTCCTGCTCCCTCCTCCCCTCCTCGGCCACGCTCCACCTCCTCCCCCCTCCCTCCTCCCCCTTCCCCCCCGTCTCCTCCCTCCCCCCATCCCCTGCCTCCTCCCCCTCCCTCTCGACCCGCCCTCGAAGCTGCGGAGCTCCCCAGAGGAGGGCCCGCCCGGCGTTCCCCCCCCCCCCCCCCCCCCGAAGGCGGCCATGGCGCGGGAGCGTATCCTCAGCCGCTCCAGCGCGCGCCGCGTGCCCGCGGCGGCCGCCGACGGAGGGGCGGACGGGCCGGCTCGCGGTCCGATTCCCTACGGCCCGCTCCCCAGACCTCGACGCCGATGTCTCGATTACGACGACGACGTGTTTTCCCCCAGATGCTCAAAAGTGCGCACACTCTGTGACCAAGAGGCTGGCTCGCACGGGACTCTGCTTCAGCCCGTGGGTAGCCTCGGTCCGATCCGATTCCCTACGGCCCGTCCCCCCAAACACCTCGGCGCTGCTCTTGATGGCGATCCGGCGCGCACTTGGAGCTCCCTCCCCGGTCTGCGGAAGCCGGGCCCGGCGCGCTCGCGCTCTGGACGGCCCGAGCCCTGTCCGATTCCGTGACGACTCGGGCGCGAGTGTCGTCGTCGTCGTCGTCGTCGTCGTCGTCGTCGTCGTCGTCGTCGTCGTCGTCGTCGTCGTCGTCGTCGTTCGTCGTCGTCGTCGTCGTCGTCGTCGTCGTCGTCGTCGTCGTCGTCGTCGTCGTCGTCGTCGTCGTCGTCGTCGTCGTCGTCTCTCTCTCTCTCTCTCTCTATCCAGCTGGGGCGTTCCAGAGAGAGGCCGCGCCCCTCGAGGGCTCGAGGCGTGGGCGCCGCCTGCTCGGCCTGCTGCAGGCGGAAGGAAGCGTATAGGGGGTGCCCGTCGGTGCGGCGGAGGGTCGCTGCAAGTGAGGAGGAGGAGGAGGAAGAGGAGGAGGAGGAGGAGGAGGAGGAGGAGGAGGAGGAGGCCACTGTGAGGTCATTTGCAGTTGGGCTCTTCAGGAGCAGCTGGGCGTCTGGAGCTCCATTTCTTGATACAGCGCCAGCAAAGATGCCATACGTACGCCAAGCGCATGGCTGCCACGCTGTGGACGTGAAGAGCTAGAAGCGATCACAGGCCAAAGCGCGTAGAAACAAGCCCTCTGACCCTGAGCACTGGCAGGGATGAGCAGAGTCGCCACCAGGCTGGCCCAAGGCCTGGGACGCTCACTAATGCGGCAGCCCTCCCCGTCTCTTTGGCTTGGGGGCCAAGGCCCATCTCATGTTGCAGGCAGTGCCCTGAGCAAAATCGTGCCTTCCCATCAGGTGCCCTCTCTGCAGGTGCACCCTGAACATATGCACGCTGGCTTGAGTGTCACAAGGCTCCTTCACGCCGGCATGGGCTATTGTAGAACGCAGGCGGCAATCACAGATCTTGGGAGGGCTGCCCTGCGGAGCTCCAGGCCACAAGTGAACCCAGAGTCCACATCTGAGCAGGCAGTGACACTGAGCTCGAAAGCGACTCGCGAGTTCCCCCTCCGCTGCCGGCCCTGTGCGCCCCCGGGCGCCAGGTGGCAGTCACCGCGACAGCCAAAAGCTAAAGGTCTGCTGCGCCGCGCTCCCTGGCGCAGCTCGGCGACGACGGCGGCGACGAGAACGACGGCGGCGTCGGCGGCCACGGCGATGGCGACGATCCCCCTCGACGGCGATGGCGGCCACGGCCACGGCGACGGCGACGGCGGCGACAGCGGGATCGGCGGCAGCTGCCAACCGGAGAGGGCGGTCCGGGGGGCAGGCGACGCCCTCTGCGCGCCCGACGTGCCCTCGGGGCGTCGAAGGAGCAGCGTGGCCAGCTCGCTCGGAGGCTCTACCGTTGCGCGTGCGCCGGGCGTGCCTGTGTCCACGCAGCGTTGGGAGGTTTGGGGGGCTTGTCGTCGTCGGCGTCGTCGTCGTTCGGAGTTTTGCGGGCGCTTCTGGAGGCCATCGTCGCCACGGCTGAACGCAGCCCGAAGGACTGGCCAGGATGGTCCTTTGCCCTGATCTGGACCACGACGGAGTTTTGTTCCTCATGCTTGACCTCTGAGGGTCATCTTTGGGGGGGGGGACCTACGGGCCGTCAGACACGATCGGGGAGAGAGGTCCAAGGGTGCGCGTTGCCGAAGAGGTTGTGGCGTCGGACGTTTGGGTTCCAGTAGCGCGGCGAAGCAGGGTGAGTTCAAAGCGGTTTGGTACTTCACAGGATGGGTCCAGCACGCGCGGAAGATTGGATCGTTCGTCGCGAGAGGGGACCAGGATTTATCGCGTGGACGGCACCCAGCCATGAGGGAATGAGTTGGAAACACCGCAGTATTTCAGAGCACCACGGACTCTGCGCTCACAACATGTTCTGATAACCGCAGATGTAATTACCTTCACGATTTGACCAATACCATGCAGTGACTTTCCTATCAGTGCCTGTTATGCTTTCTGAACGCCTATGTCTATGACGCCCAACTAACAGCCGCTAGCGTTACCCTCCGCCTCCCTTCCGACGCACCCCCCTCCCCACAAGGCAGCGCCTTGTTAGTGGGTGAAGGTGAGGGAGGGGGAGGAGGATCAAAATTTGAAGGTAAATCCTGATGCGCATCAACCCTCCCCCCTCGCACCCTCTTCCCCTATCGAAGCTTTGATCCTCGAGCCTGGGTGTTTCTCCTCACCTTGGTATTCCTCTTCTCCTTATCCTCCTCTCCCCCCTCCTCCTCCTCCTCCTCCTCCTGCCCTGACCCCCCCTACCCTCGAACGCCGTTCTTCCTCTTCCCCCCCGGGAGATGGGGGCGGGAGGAGGGAGAAGGGACAGGCAACACGGAGTAAGGTCAGGGAGGAGGAGGAGGAGGAGGAGGAGGAGGAGGAGGAGGCGAGGAGGTGGAGAATTCGACCTGGAGGGGGAAGAAGCGATTCCCTTTTTGTATGTGGGGGGTTCCCTTACATTCCTTTGGGGTGGGGGGGCTACACATCGGTTCCCCCATGTGGGGGGGGGTCACATCGATTTTCTTTTTGTGGGGTCACATCGATTTTCTTTTTGTGGGGGAGCAGGGGAGGGTCTGGCCCTGGGGGAGAGCGCCCAGGACAACGAACAAAACAAAACGGCACAATGTGGTCCCGTGCTTTTTTTTGCTCCAGGGGCTAAAGGGGGGAGAACCGAAACCGGGATTGGTGGATCGACTCGTTTCTTTGTTTGTGTTTTCCTTGCTTGGTTCGTTCCCCTCCCCTCCTCCTCCCCTCCCCCCCCGCAAACAAAGGGAATCGACTTGTGGCCCCACACGAAGGGAATCCATCGAACCGCTTTTCTCCTTCACTAAAACAATAATCAATCCCATCGTTATCCAGAGAGAGGGTGACAGAGATGGAGAGGGACAGAGTAGGAGAGAGTAGGAGAGAGAGAGAGAGAGTGGGAGAGTCAGAGTGGGAAGGAGAGAGAGAGCGAGAGAGAGAGAGAGATGAAAGCTTGAAAAACGCAGAAAGGGGGGGGAGCCTCAAATCCAACGTGCCCCCTTTGCACCTGAAGCTCGCACGTGCATCGGCGTCCGCCGCCCCCTGGAGCTCCAGGAACCCGGCTCTCCCCAGGCGCAGTTCCCCGGGCGGTGGATCTGGAGAAGTCCCCGCCTCACGCCCTGGCCGGCCGCGCTCGTGCCGCCGCGGCTTGCCGGCAGCGGCGGCTCGAGCAGCGGCGGCGCGGCGGCGGGATGGGGGCCTATCCGCGCCGCGGCTGCGGCTGCTGCGCCGCCTGGGCCGCGGTGCCGCTTGCGGCGCTGCTGGGCGCACCGCTGTGGCTGCGGGAGGTCTCCGTGCTCCGGGTCGGTCGAGGCGCCCGGGGGCCGGCGGGCGCAGTGAGGCGAGGACGGGTTCGGTCGCAAAGCATGGGGGCCTTGTATGTACTGGCAACTCCGTCTTTCCAGTGCACTCGCGTGTGCTGGCGTCGGGTAATCGAGGAGGAAGCGCTTGGCTGGCGCTGATTGGCTTTGGCCTATCGCTGGTCAGCGTCGATCTGCAAGCGTCAACAAGATGATATGGGAGGCTCCCGTGAGTTGCCCCCAAAGCGGGGGGGGCAGGACCAGGAGGTAGGATGAGGAGTGTGTGGGGAAGGACGGCGATGACGAGGAGGTAAGGTGATGACGATGAGGTCGGGCAAGGCGGTAAGACGAGGTTTCTTAGGAGGTAGTGGGCGTGGAAGTAAGAGGCGGAGGAGGGGGAGGGAGGGAGGGGATGAGGGATAGGATGATTAGGAAGATTGCGAGAAAGACGTGAAAAGGAAGAGGAGGTAGAGTACAGCAGGAGGTGTGAGGCGGAGGAGGGGGCAGGAAGGGTGGAAGGAGCAGCGGGAATGGGTGGATAAGAGCGAAGGGCGATCGCAATTAAGAAATTGTTCTGCCAGTAGTTGGCCACTGCTCCCCTGCACCACCGCATGCTCCCCTTTCTCTCTTTCCACCTCCGCCTCCATCTATCCTTACCGACTGCGACAGCGCATGTATGAAGTACCCTTCCCTCGAGCTCACCATCATGACTGTTATCCTCCAGCTCGTCCCTAAGGTGCGAGACTGCTCATAAGCAGTCATACGTACAGGTTGTGGTCAAGGGTCAGCAGGTCCGTCATGCCACTTTGGGTATCGGTTCACAGGGGTGACCATTCTGAGGAAGGGCTTCTGCCCTGGCAACGTGTTCCTCGTTGCGTGCCCTTGTTCGCTGCCTCCTCTTGCACGCCTGCGTGGACGGCAGCAGCATAATGCTACAGCGGGGGCGTTCGTTAAGGAATGCGCCCAGCGGGCTTCAGACCCTGGAGGGTTCCTTATCTGATGAGGGCGGCGGTGATATCCATGGCCAAGCCACGATTTGAGTTCCACTGGCTTCCAGACCCTGGATTCCTTTATCCAACGGTTCCTTATCCAATGCCCTCACCGTAATGCTACAGCACTTGCAGATGCTTCGGAAGGTTTTCGTCCCGATGGATGCTGCGACGGTGCTTGGTAACCTCCGGCTCCGCAAGGAGACGGCGGAGCTGGCCCAATGTTATGGACAGAGCCCGTTCGCGCGGCCTCCCAGAGAGGCGCGCAGCGATGTTGGCCTCGTCGTTCCAGCCCGGGTGCAGGTGCAAAATCTCCAGCACGGTGCGAGGCCCTCGTGCTGCGCTGGATGCGCCACGGAGAGATGATCTCCGCCAGCGGCGGCAGCGCCCGGGGACCCTCTGGCGACCGGGCCAGGCGCCCGACGATGGCACCCGCCACAGAGGCCGAGCCACCGCGCCCACGAGCGCAAGCCTGCACGCGCGGTCCCGGACGGGCTCCCCCGCGGCGGGCCGCGGGCCCCGCTTGATGTGTGTTGTGCTGCCCGGCGAGCTCGGCGGGCACAGCTCGGGCGGGGCCGGGGCCAGGACGAGTCGCTCCGGAGCCTTTTCCAGGGACGCCCTCGGAGCGCTCCAGAGCTCTCTCTCCTGGAAGGCCGCGGCGCGCGAGACGTCCTCCAGGGCAGCCGGATCTCGGAGATGCGCGATCCATGCTGGTCCGGAGGATGACGAGCAGGAGGAGGGGGAAGAATGGAGGGGGAGAAGGGGGATGATGATGATGATGATGATGATGATGATGATGATGATGATGATGATGATGATGATGATGATGATGATGATGATCATGATCATGATCATGATGATGATGATGATGATGATGATGATGATGATGATGATGATGATGATGTTGATGATGATGATGATGATGATGCTGATGATGCTGATGATGCTGATGCTGATGCTGATGCTGATGCTGATGCTGATGCTGATGCTGATGCTGATGCTGATGCTGATGCTGATGCTGATGCTGATGTTGCTGATGATGCTGATGCTGATGCTGATGCTGATGCTGATGCTGATGATGATGATGAGGAGGAGAAGGAGGAGGAGGAGGAGGAGGAGGAAGAGGAGGAGGAGGAGAAAGAGGAGGAGGAGGAGGAGGTGTAGGAGGAGGAGGACGAGGAGGAGGAGGATGGTTTTGTCTTGAGAGTCCGTCTTCGCTGCCGGCTTCGCACCGCCACGCGGGTCTCTCGGCCTCGGCCCTCGGCGCCGGCTGCCTCGTGGCGCTCCAGGCCGGCCTCGTCGCGGCCGAGCGGAGGCACGGGTTTGGGAGGCTGTATTCTCTCTCACCGATTCGGCGGTGCGCACATGGGCCGGGACGCCCGAGATGGGCACGGAAAGAATGGGTACGATGCCCAACAGCAGTTCCTGTCCACTTTGAACAGGACTCGCTGTCCGCGCAGCCGCGGTCTGTATCCATTAGAGACAGGAGGCCGCCTGCCCAACAGCGGCCGCTGTTGGTTTGGACAACATTTGTTGTTGGGCATTGTACCCATTTTTTCCGTACCCATTTCGGGCGTCCAAAATGGGGGGTGGCGTGAGGGGGGGGGCCAGGATGGCTTCTAAGAAGCCCCCTGCCGTCTCGGAAGCTCCCCCGCTTCCTTAGAAGCAATCCCCATCCACGGTCTTGTCCCTCGCGCCATCCCCTTGTCCGCGCCGCCATCCTGTTGTCCGCGCCGCCCCCCTGTCCGAGCCGCCAGCCGATGCTGCTGAGTCGGAGGCCGACCCTCTTCTTGTGAGAATCGGTTGCCACCTTGCTGGCAGATACCGCAGGCCATCTAGCACAATCGAGGAGCAATCCATCCTCTCTCAGCATCATGTGCAAGCCCTTGGAGGCTCACGAGGCTGAGCTGTTGTCGGCGGTGAGCAAAATTATCAAGCTGGGAGACAACCGATCGCCTGTCGACATGATCATCCTGGCGTTCTTTGTTCGCGGTTGGCTTCGCACCCGGCTTGGTCGTTCTTGGCCCCGTAGATTTGTAATTTGTTCGTGCCGCATTTCACCAAATGTCCGATGGTACACGCGTTGTTTCGACGGCTTGATGGCGCTTTGAGTTCGAAATGATTCCTGAGGGTTCCTGCCGGATCTCTGAAGATTCCTGCAGGATGCTTGCATGATCCTTCAGGGTTCCGGAGGATTCCTGAGGCTTCCTGTAGGACTCCTGAGGATTCCATACTGCGCCCCAGACCGTCTGCAAACGACCAGTGTACATTCGCTACACGCTCCCGCTGTGGTCCACCCAGTTCCGTTGCACCCTCTTGGTCTCGGCGAGCTTTGGGACTTGATTCGTCCGCGGCAGGCACAGCGAACGCATCCGCATGGAGTGAGGTCCACAGCGCTCCAGAGCGCTCCGCGACGACATCCAGGTGCGATGACGTTGTTGCCAGTTGGGCATTTCTCTTACCCATCGCCGTCGTCGTCATCCTCGTCCACCTCCCTCCATCTGTCTTCCCACTTCTTCGTCCCAAGGCCCCTCCCAGGCACCACCCCGACTCGGCTTTCGCTCCGCGTGCAGCCACGGCGACGGGAAGAGTCCCAGAGGCCCATGCATGAAGAAGAGGGGGTTGGAAGAAAGGGAGGAGGAAGTGCAGAATAAATAATCGCACAACCAAACACTTTCGCAGCTCTGCGCGGATTTGTTGGATTTGTTGGATCTGCGCTGGAACCCACTGGCGGCGCCTCCGGCCCCGCCCTTGGCGCGCTCAGCGCGCCAGGGAGGAGGTTCAGCGCAGATCCAAGAAGTCCACGTGGAGCTCCGAAGGTGTAAGTTTACGCAGTTGTTTTTCCTTCTACGGAAGAGGGCTCCCCTGGCCTCCCCTCCCTCCTCCACTAGCTGCGCGCACCATCGCCCCTGCTGCCCTGGGAGAGAGACGCAGCTTGCAGGCCTGGAGGAGTGCTCCTCGCTGGGCGGCACCAACCTGGTGATCACAGGTCGCAAGGGGCGGCGCAAGCTCGAGCCTCCCCCTCTTCCTCCTCCTCCACCTCCTCCTCCTCCTGCTCCTCCTCCTCCCCGTGATCCTCCCCCCCTCCTCCCTCCTCGGCATCATTCTCGTCCTTCACGTCCTCCTACTCTTCCTCCGTCTGCTCCTCTTCCTTCTCCTTCTGCCCCTCCTCTTCCAACTCTTACTCCTTCTCTTCCCTCATCCTCTTTTTTCTCTGCCCCCCCTCTCGTAACTCATATGACAAGAATGGTTTCTCTTCGTCCTGTCCCTCCTCGTTCTCGGTCGCTGAGGCTCGAGCATTGATTGAGCTAGTTGAGCTTACTCGGTTTTTGTAATTTCTGCAAGCGTTTGCATACTGAGGCTTCTGGACACCTTCGGAGACCTCCGTGTCCTTTCTCCTCATCCTCTTCGGATCGGCTCGAAATCAGCCAATGAAGCGCCATGCAATTTCATTGAACGAGCTTGCACGCACGAGGGAATCTGAAAGGCGAGGAGGACAGCGGCGACTCTACCCACCATTCCTCATCCTCCTCTTCCCTCCTCCGCTCTCCTTTTCTCCTGACCATCCTCTTCTTCTTCATCTTTCTCTTCTCCTTCGCCCTCTTCCCTCTTTTCTTCTCTTCCTCTTCCTCCTCGTGCTCCCCCTCGGGGAGGAGTAGGTAGGAGGAGGGAAGAAGAGGAGGAGGGCGGATGAGGTATGAGGTTGCGGGGCGCTCCATGGGGTTATTCGGAGTCCTTCCCCTTTTGTCAGTTTGCCCATTCCCTTCCCTCCTTTCCTCCTCCCCCCCGTTCCACCTTTCCCCTTCGCCCGTCCTGCTCCCTTCTCCCTTCCCATCTCTCCCCCTTCCCCTGCAATTCCCCCCCCCTCCCCCGCTCCTCTCACTCATCCTCCCAGTTTCCCTTCACTGCTTTCCTTGTTTTGCTTCTCGCCCTCCCACTCGTGATTCTCCTCCCATCCCTTCCCTGCTGTCCCCCCTCTCGCCCTCTCGAGTCTTCTCCCCTCCGTCATATCCTTCCCATGCACCCCTCCCTCCACCCCGTTCCCATTCCTCGCACGTGAAAAGGGGCTGCACGGGCCAATCGGACCTTACACCGGCCAAACCGTGCCTACACCAGCCGCACGGCCGGTGTAATGACCAGCCTGACCAGTGCAGTGACCCATAGAGGTCACCAGTAATGGTATTGATGATGGTGATGAGTGGTGGTGATGATGGCGACGATGATGACCATAAGTGGTGACGACGATGATGACCATGATGATGATGATGATGATGATGATGATGATGATGATGATGATGTTGATGATGATGATGACGATGATGATGATGATGGTGATGAGGATGATGATGGTGTTGATGAGGAAGCGGAAAATGATGATGACGACGATGATGCTTATGTTGATGATGCCTACGTTTATGATGATGACGGCGATCATGATGATGCTGATGAGTGGTGGTGTTAGGGGATGATGACGATGATGCTGATGCTGATGGTTTACTCTGACGATGATGGTGATGATCATGACCACGATGATGAGGATGATGCTGATGCTGGTGATGATGGTGTTGGTGATGATGACGAGGACGATGATGATGATGATGATGATGATGATGATGATGCTGGTGATGATGATGCTGCTGCTGCTGCTGATGATGATGATGATGATGATGATGATGATGATGATGATGATGATGATTATGGGGAACCCCAGGGTTGGAGGATGAATGCGATGACTGGAGGGAGCAGGAACAGAAGGAGGAGAAGGAGGACGTAGGAGGAGCTAGGAGAAGGACGAGCAGGAGATAGGAGAAGGCGGAAGACGACGAGGAGGAGGAGAAGGACGAGGAGGGGGAGGAGGTAGGAGGTTGGAGGTAGGATGGAGGACGAGAAGGCGGAAGTACTTAGGCAAGGGAAGATTATGAGCAGGAGCAGAAGGAGGCGGAGGAGGAGGGACATCTTGATGTCAACGGACGGTTTGGGGTCATATTGGGATCCGCTGTGATTATGATGTCGATGATACTTCGGTTGCTGTTGTTGGTGATGATGATTTTGGTGGTCATGATGGAGGTGATGGTGACGATGATGACGATGTTCAGGATGATGATGCTGGTGATGATAGCGATGCTGACGAGGAGGTGGATGACGATCATGGCTATGATGACGATGCTGAAGCTGCTGAAGATTATGATGATGATGCTGGTTATGATGGCGGTTGTCTTACTGTTGATTTGGTTCGCATGGCACCGCCGCCTCCCTTTTGGCACACCACTCACACGTTTCGTGGCCCCATAGGGAGCTTCGCCGAAGGCCCCAGTGGCAGGGTTCGCATGGCACCGCCGCCTCCATTTCGGCACACCCCTCACACGTTTCGTGGCCCCATGGGGAGATCCGCCGAAGGCTCCAGTTGTAGGGCTTGCATGGCCCGCCGCCTTCGTTTCGGCACACTCCTGACACGTTTCGTGGCCCCATGGGGAGATCCGCCGAAGGCCCAAGAGGCAGGATTCACATGGCACCGCCGCCTCCATTTCGGCACACCCCACACACGTTTCGCGGCCCCAGAGGGAGCTCAACCGAGAGCGATACTCACAACGGCGGTATTCTCAACCGCATGTGGTTTGGTTTTTCGCCAGGATAACTCTTCATATGCGCATCACTCTTTACACGCCAAAACTGAAGGTTCGCAGCTCTTCACTTCAAATTTGTCGAATCATCCTTGGGGGGTCCAGGCGAGAGGGGGACAGTAAGGGAACACGTGCGTGCGATGCTGAAAGGAGAGGCGAGGACGTCTGACCGAGCGGTTCCGCGGGGCGTTGCCGATTGCCGGTGTCGAACGAGGCAGGGAGCAAATGACGGCCACGACGCCCGATTTACTTGCGCCGACCCGTCTGCGTCATCAGCACCTGCAGAGCAACACTGTGGCTGGCCAGGGCCATCCTAGGCGTTCAGGCAAGCCGAGTCGTCAGGATGCGCAGCTTTCCGAGGGCACCCTTCTGTATTTACGCGCCCGGCCCGTCCTCAGCCACATCCTCGCTGGGCGCATGTCATTCAAGAGGCTGCAGCTTGGGCGCCCAAGGTTCCTGCATCCCCACAGCGCATCCCTACGTTCCTGTCGCGCTGCAGGATGGCGTATATGGACCCCTCTACTCGACGATGCCATGTTTGCCATCCGCCGCGCCAGAGCTGCCCACCTCCCCAGGGTCAGCGATTCGCCCCGGATCCGTCTTCGATCGCCCTGGGGTCCGATGAAGGGCCCCAGAGGTCGAAATCGAGGAAAACGCAAAGGATTCAACCATTATCCCGGCGAAGGACGCCATCATACGCAGTTGTGAGTACCGCGTGCCCTCAGCGGAGCCCCGTGTAGGGCCACGAAACGTGCGAAGGGTGTGCCGGAATGGGCCTGAGGGCGCATGTTGGCGCTGCCATTGTGGCCTTCGGTGGAATTCTCATGGGCGCCGCGATTCGTGTGAGGGGTATACCCACTTGGGCCATGAGGCGCGCGCAGGCGCTGCCGAATGGGCCTTCGGTGGAGTTCCCTATGGGGCCACGAACAGCGGGAGTGGCGCCCCGAAGTGAGCAGGGGCACCGCCTGCGGGCCCAGCGGTGCTCCCAGTGGGGGCACGAAGCGCGGGAGTGGCGTCCCGAGATGAGCGTGGCACCGCGCGCGAGTTGTGCCACTAGGGGCTTCGGTGGAGCTCCCTACTGGGCCGCGAAGCAAGTGAGGGGTGTGCCGAACTGGGCTGGAGAGCACTATGCGCCCCCCCCCCCCCTTCCCCTTGGGGGCTGTTTTGGAGCATTGTTGTGGAATCACGAAGCGGGTGAGGAGTGCGCCGAAATGGTCTGAAGGACGCTAATTATGCGCCCCCACCCCCTGTGCTTCGATGGAGCTCCCTATGCAGCCACGAGCCGTGTGAGGGGTGCGCCGAAATAGGTTGGGGGACCCTATGCGCCTCCCCCCCCCGCCCCCCTCCCGGGGGCCTTACTATTTGGAGCTCCCTGATGGGTCGCGAACCGTGGGATGGGTGTGTGCCGACACGGACACGCTGACTGCCAAGGTAGGGATGGAAGGAGACGCGAGGCGATCTCGATTCAGAACGAGGGACCTGACACCGCCGGATGGCTGGGAAAAGCGTAGCGTCGGAGCTCTTGGCAGGCAGAGACCCCTCGTGGCCTCGGCCAGAGGAGGGGGAGGAGGGCGGAGGAGAGGGCGGAGGACGAGGAGGACGAGGAGGAGGAGGAGGAGGAGGAGGACGAGGAGGAGGAGGGGGAGGAGGGGAGGGAGTAGGGGGAGGGAGGGAGGAAGCCGAGGCCGCCGGCACCCGCCCCCCCTCGAGAGGCAGCACGTCGGGCATCGGCCTCGAGGCCGCGCGGCACGCCGTGTCCCTGGGCGCCCAGGTGGCGCGGTGCCAACCAGGGTGCCGCGGAGCTCCTCCTCCTCCTCCTCCTCCTCCTCCTCTTCCTCCTCCTCCTCCTCCTCTCCTCTCCTCCTCCTCCTCCCTCCCCTCTCCTCCTCCTCCTCCTCCTCCTCCTCCTCCTCCTCCCCTCCTCCTCCTCCTCCTCCTCCTCCTCCTCCTCCTCCTTCCTCCTCCTCCTCCCTCCTCCTCCTCCTCCCCTCCTCCTCCTCCTCCTCCCTCCCTCCTCCTCCTCCTCCTCCTCCTCCTCCTCCTCCTCCTCCTCCTCCTCCTCCCTCCTCCTCCTCCTCCTCCTCCTCCCTCCTCCTCCTCCTCCTCCTCCTCCTCCTCTTCCTCCTCCCTCCTCCTCCTCCTTCTCCTCCTCCTCTTCCTCCTCCTCCTCCTCCGCCAAGGCTGTCGCCATGAAGGAGGTCCCGATGTCCGACGGCTTGTTTTTTCGTTCAATCCAGGCGGGTGTCCTCGATTGCGGCCTCTGGCTTTCGGGCCCCAGGGGCACTCACTTGCGGTGGCTCGGGAAGGGGCCGGAAGTTCTGGGCCGCGGATCGGGGTAATCACATCGTCGGGTGTCTGGGAAGGAGTCTTGAGGGAAGCGGGTCTTGGAGGTTCCCGGGGCCGGGGGCCGTTCCTGGGCCCCCGTGACCGTCAAAACGGCAGCCCCAGATCCAGGACTTGTCTCCCTCAGGGTCCGCCCGCCTCCATGCCAAAAAGCAGGTCTGCGGAGCTCCAGGCCGCCCAGCATGTCAGGGCGTTCCAGTTCCACAGGAGGCCCTGCCTCCGGTGCATCTCGGCTTCTGCGGAAGGCTGGCGGGTTAGCTGGCGGAAGGTTGGCGGAGAGTTGGCGTCAAAAGTGACGCCTCACTTCAGGCGGGTGGTAATGAGTGGTGGCCTCGATGGGAGGCAAGGGCCCTAAAGGTTAGGAATATCTTCCCGCAGCGTGGACATCAACGTGTAAGTTGCAACCTGATAATGCGCCCCCAGTTCTTGTTCTTCACCCCCCACTCAAGTCACCCCACATTAACACCCGCCCGAGAGGCGTCGCGCCACCATCTTTGGGTTCAGGGTTTCTGGAGTCGCCGAAAATGAGGTCGGAGTAGATCGGGTCGGACGATTCGCGCCGCGTCGCCCAAGCATGAGCGGTGCTGCGCGAGCTGGAGCCCGCTTCTCTTTTTCCCCACATCCTAAGTGGGGTTCTTGTTCCCCACATCCTAAGTGGGGTTCTTGTTTTCTCTGCACACCCTCCGCGCAGGATCTCTCGTCCTCCTCCCTCTCCTCTGCTCCTCTTTGCTTCCTCCTCCGCATCATCATCACCATCACCATCACTCCCCACTCATCATCATCATTATCATCACCATCAGCATCACCATCACCATCGCACGATCACTCACCATCATCGGCATCGAACGATCATCATCATCATCATCATCATCATCATCATCATCACTACTCGCTGACTCACCACTTCGTCCCCATCATCATCACCACCATCTACCATCATAATCGCACGATCACTCACCATCAGCACTCATCATCACCACCATCATCATCATCACGTCGTCATCATCACCACCACCACCATCATCATCATCATCAATCATATGTCATCATCAAACACCGTCGTCACCATCCCATCACCATCATCCACCAAGAGGGAGCCTCGTCTGTGAGTGAATTGTGAGGAAGTCTCAGGCGGGAGCCCCCTCCATATGGGGCCCGCAGATCATGTTACTAATCCGAGCGGGTCATCGGATTCCTGTAACTGTCGTCACTTTTGGGCTCCTCAGGTCTGAATTTGGAGGAAGTTTCAAGCGGGAGCTTCGTCTGTGAGTGAATTGCGAGGAAGTCTCAAGCGGGAGCCCCCTCCCTATAGGGCCCGCAGATCATGTTATTAATCCGAGCGGATCATCGGATTCCTGTAACTGTCGTCACTTTTGGGCTCCTCAGGTTTGAATTTGGAGGAAGTATCAGGCGGGAGCCTCGTTTGTCAGTGAATTGCGAGCAAGTCTCAGGCGGGAGCCCCCTCCCTATGGGGCCCGCAGATCATGTTATTAATCCGAGCGGGTCATCGGATTCTTGTAACTGCCGTCACTTTTGGGATCCTCAGGTCTGAATTTGGAAGAAGTATCAAGCGGGACCTTCGTCTGTGAGTGAATTGTGAGGACGCGTCAGGCGGGAGTCCCCTTCCTATGGGGCCTGCAGATCATGTTACTAATCCGAGCGGGTCATCGGATTCTTGTAACTGCCGTCACTTTTGGGCTCCTCAGGCTTGACTTTGGAGGAAGTATCAAGCGGGAGCCTCGTCTGTGAGTGAATTGCCAGGAAGTCTCAGGCGGGAACCCCCTCCTTATGGGGCCCGCAGATCATGTTATTAATCCGAGCGGGTCATCGGATTCCTGTAACTGTCATCACTTTTGGGCTCCTCAGGTCTGAATTTGGAGGAAGTATCAAGCGGGAACCTCATCTGTGAGTGAATTGTGAGGAAGTCTCAAGCGGGAGCCCCTCCCAATGGGGCCCGCAGATCATGTTAGTAATCCAAGCGGGTCATCGGATTCCTGTAACTGTCCTCACTTTTGGGCTCCTCAGGTTTGAATTTGGAGGAAGTATCAGGCGGGAGCCTCGTCTGTCAGTGAATTGCGAGCAAGTCTCAGGCGGGAACCCCCTCCCTATGGGGCCCGCAGATCATGTTATTAATCCGAGCGGGTCATCGGATTCCTGTAACTGTTGTCGCTTTTGGGCTCCTCGGGTCTGAACTTGGAAGAAGTATCAAGCGGGACCCTCGTCTGTGAGTGAATTGTGAGGACGTGTCAGGCGGGAGCCTTCCTATGGGTCCCGCAGCTCACGTGGTTCCTCCGGGTCATCCTCCGGCGCGCGCTTCCTCTGGGTCGTCCTCCGGCGCGTATCGGCTGGGACGCACGTCGTGCGCTTCCTCTGGGTCGTGTTCCGCGCGAGGACGAGGAGGAGGATGATTGCCAGGAAAAGGAGGAGGGATGATGCAGGACGAGACAGGAAAGCAGGAAGAGGAAGAGGCTGATGGGAGGAAGGACGAGGAGGAAAAGGAGGAGGAGGAATGCCCGAGGAGGCCCCAGTAGGTCCCGGAAGGCCCAGAAGGCTCCAGGAGGCCCCAAGAGGCCCCAGGAGGCCCCAGGAGGGGGCAGGAGGCCTAAGGAGGAGGAGGAGGAGGAGGAGGAGGAGGAGGAGGGAGGAGGAGGAGGAGGAGGAGGGAGGAGGAGGAGGAGGAGGAGGGAGAGGAGGAGGGGGGGGGGGGGGGAGGAGGGGGGAGGAAAGAATATGGAAACGAGGAGGAGGAGGAGGAGGGAGGAGGAGGAGGAGGAGGAAGCGGATGAGGGAGAGGGAGAGGAGGAGGACAGAGGATGATGAGGAGGAGGAAGAGGAGAAGGGAGAGGGAGAGCAGGAGGAGGAGGCAGGAGGCAGGAGGGGCAGGGGGAATGGGGGGGAAGACGCATAACGAGGGGGAGGGGGAGGAGGTGGAGGAGGCAAGAAGAGGAGGAAGAGGCAGAGGTTGAGGCAGGAGGAGGAGCAGACAGGAGGAGAACGAGGAGGCAAGAGTAGGTGGGAGAAGGGAAGGGGCAGGAGGATACCCCCATGCAAGCTAAAGAGATTATCATGCGGGGTCCTTCCGTCGGAGTAATTTTCTTTGCGCACCCTCCGCGCAGGATCTCTAGTCCTCCTCCCTCTCCTCTGCTCCTCTTTGCTTCATCCTCCGCGTCATCATCACCATCACCATCACTCCCCACTCTTCATCATCATCATCATCATCACCATCATCATCACCATCACCATCGCACGGTCACTCACCATCATCGGTATCGAACGATCATCATCATCATCATCATCATCGTCATCATCATCATCATCATCACTCGCTGACTCACCACTTCGTCCCCACCATCACCACCACCATTTACCACCATAATCGCACGATCACTCACCATCAGCATTCATCATCACCACCATCATCATCATCACGTCGTCATCATCACCACCACCACCATCATCATCATCATCATCATCAATCATATATCATCATCAAACACCGTCGTCATCATCCCATCACCATCATCCACCAAGAGGGAGCCTCGTCTGTGAGTGGATTGTGAGGACGCGTCAGGCGGGAGCCCCCTCCCTATGGGGCCCGCAGATGATGTTACTAATCCGAGCGGGTCATCGGATTCCTGTAACCGTCGTCACTTTTGGGCTCCTCAGGTTTGAATTTGGAGGAAGTATCAAGCGGGAGCCTCGTCTGTGAGTGAATTGCGAAGAAGTCTCAGGCGGGAGCCCCCTCCCTATGGGGCCCGCAGATCATGTTATTAATCCGAGCGGGTCATCGGATTCTTGTAGCTGCCGTCACTTTTGGGCTCCTCAGGTTTGAATTTGGAGGAAGTATCAGGCGGGAGCCTCGTTTGTCAGTGAATTGCGAGCGAGTCTCAGGCGGGAGCCCCCTCCCTATGGGGCCCGCAGAGCATGTTATTAATCCGAGCGGGTCATCGGATTCCTGTAACTGTCGTCACTTTTGGGCTCCTCAGGTCTGAATTTCGAAGAAGTATCAAGCGGGACCCTCGTCTGTGAGTGAATTGTGAGGACGCGTCAGGCGGGAGCCCCCTCCGTATGGGGCCCGCAGATCAAGTTATTAATCCGAGCGGGTCATCGGATTCCTGTAACTGTCGTCACTTTTGGGCTCCTCAGGTCTGAATTTCGAAGAAGTATCAAGCGGGAGCCTCGTCTGTGAGTGAATTGTAAGGAGGTCTCAGGCGGGAGCCCCCTCCCTATGGGGCCCGCAGATCATGTTATTAATTCCGGCGGGTCATCGGATTCTTGTAACCGTCGTCACTTTTGGGCTCCTCAGGTTTGAATTTGGAGGAAGTATCAAGCGGGAACCTCGTCTGTGAGTGAATTGTGAGGACGCGTAAAGCGGGAGCCCCCTCCCTATGGGGCCCGCAGATCATGTTATTAATCCGAGCGGGTCAT